TTACCCTTGATTCCTGTTTAGAAAACATGAGCACACATCCACAAGAACTTTAACAGAAAGAAATAAAAAATAATGTTATTGTAGAAACAAGGTTACTGGTACCTATAACACGGGCTTGTTAAAATTATGTAAAGCGATGTATACAAAGCTATTATACAAACTGTTCCATACAAGTAAAAATTTCAAATCTTTGTTATCAGTAAGAATGAAAGGTGTAGCGAATACTGAGGGGCTCATTCCTCAGCCGTTGGAAGCATTAGCCACTGTCGACTGTCAGCTGAGACCCTTTCCAGGACTTGCCCTTGATAGAAGAGGGCCACTTTGCCCAAGGTCAAGCATTACCATTTCCCACCTGCATCCAATGGGCAGGCATGAAAGTAGAGCCCACTTCCCTTAATTTGGGACAACCACAAAGGGCTATCCCAGGCCCAGAGTCCCCATAGAATCAGAGGATCAGTTGAGGGAGGCCACTGTGTGACTGCATCACAGTTTGAATTCTCTCTCAATCCAATCTATTGCCCCAGCAACCTCACAGGTGTCATGCTCGAAAGCACTCCTTCACACAAATCTTAGAATCTCAGAGCCCCCAGGGAATGCAACTTTCAACAAGTAGAATTATTTGAGCTTATTTGTCCTGGTTGATTGCCACTTTTATCTTAAGTAAGCAGACTTTACAATAAGAATTACAACAAAATTAATGTATGAAGGAGAAAACATGGAGGTCCAATCATATTTCTAAAAGACTTAAGAAAAGACAATATCAAATACACAGTTAATAAGTGATGATCACATCCAGAATTTCCTTTCAAATTTTTCAGTTTTTATATCAGCATGTTTAATTTGAGGCTGCTACCATAGGCTATATCAGGTGCATCCTGATGTGGTTGGCAAGCCGCTAGAACCTCACGTCAATGCCCAAATGCAAATTCTACACCAACAGCCCAGAGGATGGGTAGAGAAAATATGTTGGGCAGGAGCCATGACCTTCCCTTCTGATGAGATGATGTCAGAAATCACAAACTAAATGACTACAGAGGGCCAGGTAGGAACATGAATGAAGTAGAAGATGCATGCCATTAAACTGGTTGAACTGTGATCAAGAATGACACCTGCTTAATTGTTTTTTTACTTTTATTATTACTGTTATTAATTTTAGATATCTAATGTCTGAATACATTTTCCTTTTTAAGAAGTTACAGAAAAAATTAAAGTCCTTTTTGACATATAATTTTTCTCTCATCAAAACTGTTACCAAACATAAAAACAAAAAACTAAAACGAGAAACAAATAAAAGACTGTTACCAAATCCTGTCTATTCTACCTCTCAGACATCCCTTAAGTACATCTACTTATCTTCAGCCTCCACTGCTACCTTAATGCAAAGAAGCTAGACCTACCAAATGGTCTCCCTACCGCTGGTCTTGCCCCTTCAACCCATTTACCTGCCTTAAAGCAGGGACCTAATCCCTACTTACATCTCAATCTCTTCTCCCAATCTTCTTCCCTTCCCATTCTACACTCCAGTCAGTGTCAGCATCTTTTAGTTATGACACCATGCAGATTGCCTCTGGGCCTTTGCATAAGCCGTTTCCTCTGCTAGAAACAGGCTTAGTCAACTTCAGTGGATCTTCATCTTGCCAACTCCTGCTCATCTTCCAGGGCTCAGTTTAGATAACACTTCCTCTGGGTTGTCTTTGTGCCCCTCTGTGTGCTTCCAAAACAGTCTCCTTCCCCTATTGTGATACCTATGACACCTTATTTTAATAGATTATTTCTTTGTCTGTTTCCCTCCCCCCACCCCTATTAGACTCCGGCTCTGTGAAAACAGGGGCAATAGCTGGTTTGCTCATTGCGTATCCAGTGCTTAAAACCATGCCTGGCACATAGGGAGCACTCTTTAAACAGATGTCAAATGAATGTTGGGAGAAAGGGAGAGAAGGAGTAAGAACCAATCCAAGCAATTTATGAACACACTGTTTGACTATATATATAGTCTCAGTCTCATGCAGAAGGGAGGGAGGAAGGGAAGGAGGGAGATTTCTTAATTCTCTCCATGGGCCCAAGGCATACCTGTATCACAGAAATCATTTCATTTTGCATTTTATTAGAAGTCTAGCAACTCATAGTTTTGCAAGATCTGCTTACTTTAAAATCAACAGCTTTAGCTTATTCTGTCTCTTCTGCACTGACTAATATACTTTGTACATTGTGCAATCTTTCAATTATAAACATTTACTTATCTAGTGTTGCATGCGGGGAGGGTGCCAAGAAGATTGTTATAATCTCTTAATCTCAAAGTTTCCATGGTCTAATACAAGAGAAGAAGAGTTGAAGCATGTCACATTAAGTACTAGGTACCCTGATAGAAGTATATGCAGGCTCCTGTGGATGCACCTAACTTGGCTCTGTGGCGAGGCAACAGAGAGAAGTGTCACCAAGTAGCCTTGAATGTTGATCAGAAGTTTGCCAGGTGACCAGGGAGTGGGAGGGCATTCCAAGCAGATGAAACCTCCTGGACAGAAATAATGAGATGTGAGAGTATGGGTACATTCCATTCACATAGGTCAATGTGGTTAGAGGAAAGGGTATGAGAGGTAGGAGAAATCAGAAGAGTCAGCAGGGTAGGCCATGAACGAGCTCAGAATCTCAAGTGCTGTGTAAGAAGAGTGGATTCTGCCACAAGGATGATCAGACATTGAAGGATTTTAAACAGGGCTATAACAAGAGTTGGACGGCAGTGTAGCTGATAGTTTGGAAACAGGGAGAGGTCAGAGGTGAAGAGGTTGGTCAGGAGGCTATTGTGAAGTTCTAGGTAGGAAATAAAGAGGACCTGAACCAAGGCTATGCCAAGGTATAGACTGTTACCATCCAGTTTTTATCACCGATATTTCTGATCATCTTCTCAAAGTGCTAAAAGACTAGAGAGCAAACAGTCAAAATGAAAGAGTAGAGGGTGGCAAAGAGAGAGAGGGAGGGAGGGAGGGAGGGAGGGGGGGAGAGAGAGAGAGAGCGAGAGCGAGAGCGAGAGCGAGAGCGAGAAGCTGATTTGACGGAGTTGAAAAAAGAACTGAGCAAACAGTACATTAAAGCAGTGGTCCCCAACCTTTTTGGCACCAGGCACCAGTGCTCTTATGAGAATCTAATGCCTGATATTCTGAGATGGAGCTGAGGCGGTGATGCTAGTTCTGGGGAGCGGCTGCAAATACAGATGAAGCTTCCCTGGCTTGCTGCTCACCTTCTGCTGTGAGGCCCTGTTCCTAACAGGCCATGGACCGGTGCCAGGGAGTTATGAACCCCTGCATTAAAGAACGATAGCCATCTAAAATAAAATAATATAGTATGCCACCTGTAATTGAAAAATTTAAAAATATTTTAAAAAATGAAAAGAAAAAAAAAATGATAGCCATAGCCATTAGAAATTCCAGGAGAAAACTGTTCAAGAAAGGAAAGATGATTATACTGTGTTACTTGGTTCTGCAGTGAATATTTACATAGTCATAATCTCAATCCTGATTGTTGGTTTTCAGCTTCTAGAGCCAACCTATAGACAAAGCTGGGAAGACAGAATTATGATCTCAGAATAGATGTGAATGCCATTAACCCTGACAATATCAAGTGAATGTAATAACTGTTGTGAGTGAGCATAGGTAAATGAGGGTGGGGTAAAAATTAATAGGTCAAGAGGTAGAAGGAAAAGTACAATATTTAGTGATGAAGAGGTGATTGCCAACAGAAACAGCTTTAAAAATTTGAAAGTAATTGTGCCTAGGCAGTAGGTTTAGTTTTGAGGAGGGATGGGGTGAGGGCCTGTTGATTTGCACTATAAATCCTTTTGAACTACTTGTTATATTTCTACCAGGTGCATAGCTCCTTTGATTAAAATGTTTTTTAAAAATTTTAATATATCCATCCAGATGATATTTGTTGTCTTGATGGAGATATTATACACAAACATCTGAAAAACAAAGCATATAAGATGACTTAGGTCTAATCTCCCCAAGGTAATTCCCTGGGATATTGAGTCACCTTCCTATTTAGAATAAGTATATTCACTTCAGTTATCACAGTTCAAGACAAGTAAGCTTAAAGTTCATCTCATCTTATGATTTAAGGGCACGGAAATCCAAGTAGCAAACATGAAATGTGGTTTGCATATTAAATCAGTGCCTTTAAAATTTTTTTACCTTGACCTACAATAAAAAATACATTTGTGTGTGACCCAGTGCCCACACACCCACATAACTGAAGCAAAACTTTAAAAATATATATATCTATCTCACTATGTGTGACATGCTCTAAAAATTTCTATTTCATTTTATTTTAGTTTTTAAAAATACTGGTCATTTAAAATGATTTTAATAATCTACTACAGTTTTGTGACCCACAGTTTGAAAAACATGCTAATCATTTTTTTTCTCAGACCAAAGAATGTGCTTATGAAATTTAGGGCTTATTTCTCAGATCAGCTGAAGCTTCCTAGTGGAAATACTTGTTACTGATATGTTTTAAAAAAAAAAAAGTGTGATATGAAACTCAGCTTCCATCATCTTTGTTAGTTAGCCTGACTCCCTTACTTTCATTTCTCTTCTCCTTCCTTAAAATTTTACTTTTTTTTCATCTGGTCCTGTGGGGCATATACTGAGAATAACTAAATTCATTTCTGGAATTTTTGAGACATATACCAGATGTGGTTATAACTATTCACTTACATATCTTGGTTTTTACCCATATGTTCATTTGTTTGTACAGATCTCAACTAACCATCTGCTGCTTATGAAACCATTAAAATCCACTCTTCCCTCAGATACTGGAATCTTGTGATATTTTCAAATGTGGCGAATTCCGTGTTTAAAAACACATAAGTATCACTTGTCACTTGTCACATCTACACAATTTAACAAAAATTATGCTGAAAACAAAATTACCATGAAGCTTAGTGTGCTAATAGAACTTTAATGGACTAACTTGATTCATTTGGATTTTTTTATTATTAAATTAAGAACTACAAGCAGCTATTCAAGAGGTGCTGCCAAGCCTGAAAAAAGATGATGTGTCTGTCTATTATGTGAGCAGAACTTCCAACACAGATGGGGTCGACTCTTTTCTAGAAAAAGTGGATGAAGAGTCGACTGGACCTATCCCAGAGTCGTGGAGATCAGAAGTCACTTTTCTCACTCCTGCTGTATACATTTATACTTCTGGAACCACAGGTAAAAGTAAAGAGATGATTCTGAAGGAAATGGAGCTATCCTGAAGAACAAGTTAAATGTTGGGTTAGGTTTTGAAACGGTCTCTTTCTTTGACAAAACTTATCAGATAACTAATACTTCAGGGGATCTAGTTCCTTGACTGTGGGAACTGATCTTATTTTGTAGCAGATGTCCCATTTGCATTTCTCCAAGCTATGCATATTTACCCCTAGTTGGAATGTAGAAGAAACAAAGAAGGTAACCAGAAATTACAAAAATTGTTATGATGATAGTAGATAAAATTTGGCACTGAATAGGTTTTTGGAATTTTTTAATGATTATTCTATTTTGATTTTGTTATATTCAGAGTCCATATGTAATATATAACCAGTAATAAATGGAACACCACAGAAGACTGTAGGACAATAAAGAGTTATATTTATATGTTTTGACTACTATCTTCCCACGCAAGACTGACTTAGAGCTGCTTGCTACTGTGATTGTAGCATGGCTCTTAGCTCAGGGCCTAAAATACTGTATTTCATCAAACTAGAATGCCTTTAACTATAAGATGCACCATTATTTTTATGAGCCGCTAAGAAAAACACTGCTAATTAACGGCATTGTTGACATACTGCTTCATGGAACAGTCAATAAATATTAAAGGTAGGATGTACCAGGCACTCTCCTAAAAGCTTTATGGCATTTGTTCATTTACTTCTCCACTTACCCACCACTCCTAAGATGGGTACTATTCTTATTCCCAAAAGTTATATACTGCCTTGCCAACGAAATGGCAAGATGATGTAGTTAACCAAATACTTCCACTATGTACAGATACCAACTTAATATGGACTTTTGTCCTAATTTCTTAATAGAATGGTAAAATTCAATTGTAAACTTTGATTTGGAAAGTAATTAAGATAAAACAAGCCCTTGGTTAGTGACAGGGAGTTCTAGTCTTAATGCTAAATGGATAGGTATAGAACATCTTTACAGTGCAGGTTTGGGCATGCAAATATAAAGCCCGCTTTAGGAAATAAAAAGAAAAAACACTCCTTAATTTCATTCCATAATTCAGAATCTATATTTACTTGGAAGATAATTGGGTTGGTGTTTATTTTACTTTTCTCCTTATACCTAAATAAAATTTAGCTAAGTTACTCTTGTAAACATTAATCCAAAGAACTCATTTAAGCAATTGGAGAAGAAAATATTTTTCCTGTTCCTCAGAGGCAGTCATTAGCACAAAATTATATAACAGTTACCAAAAATTCTTATTTCTTCATTAATACAAAATCTTAAATTGGGAAAGTTTCTGAAAGTACTTCAAAGCAGCAAAGGACATGTATGTCTTTTTAAAATATAATTCAGAGCTTTTACTATCTGGAAGAGACTTTTCCATGGCAAATACAATTGGTTTATTGATGCTTTCTTCTATTTCTTAATATTAGTATAGAATGGGGCATCAATATTAACACAATGCCACTGGCCCACTGTCAGAGAAAATGAATTTTGAATTGTGTTTACAATGATGGTAGTTTACTAGCCACACTGCTTTGCCTTATAACAAATTGCTCTTCTTTAGGCAATACCTGGCTACGGTACCGTCAACTATTGAAGGGTCTGAGTGTATAGAGAACTGCATTTCTCTTCTCAAAGCCAGTTTACTCACTCGTCTTAAACTCTAGCCTGAGGTCCTTAATAATAACTTCATGCCTTCTCCAACTAAATTGACCTCCCATGGGAAACAATATAAGCAATACCCTTTCAATAAAGTCTTACAAAAAACTTATGTAAATTATAGTTAAAAAAATACAAATGTATTCAGTCTAGTGTGCTAAAACTACACTGAGATACCAATATTCACCTCTCAGATTGGCAAAAATTCTAACATTTGAGAGCATACCTTGTCAAGACTATAAGGAAGCAGGTACATTTATATATTTCTCATGAGAAGATGAATGGGACAACCCTTATAACTGGCAATATGTCAGTATCTATCAAAATTACAAAGACATATCTTTTGACCCCACCATCTCACTTCAGCAAACTTATCTACAGATATGGTATCACTCACTGTGTGAACTACCATGTGGGCCAGGTTATTTACTGCAGCATCATTTAAAATAGCAAGATACTGTAAATAAATTATAATATACAGATATAAAGGACTTGATGCAACTGAGAGAAAGAGAATAAATGAATGAATAAATAAGGGAAATTTCTATGTACAATGTGGACAGATCTCCAAGATACGTTGTTAAGTCGGGGGAATGAGAATATTATTCTACTTATCTCATTAATTATGAGAGTTAAATGAAATTTTGAGAATCACTTACAGGTGATAGGCACAGAGCAGAAATTCAGTAGACATTCGTTCCTTTCTCTTAAAATTACTACTGTAATAACCATCTGACGCAGGGCTTAGCAAACTCTAGCCTGTGGGCCAAATACAGCACGCCACCTGTCTTTGTAAAGACTTTATCAGAACACAGCCCCATTCGTTCCTTGATGTGTTTGGCTGATATCTGATAGCAGAGTCAAATGGTTGCAACGGAGACTGTATGACCCTGCAAAACCTAAAACACCATCTGGTCCTTTACAGAAAAATTTGCTGACTCCTGGTCTAAATGATCATGATCCTCCCCTATGCAATTCTCTAATCACCTGATGTTGAATCTTCCTAAGCCAGATCTCTCTCCTAGACCACATGTCTGTGAATGACCAATCTTGGCTCACTTATGCTTTCTTTCGTATCTTTGCAAAGGTCTCCCGAAAGCCTCAATAATCAATCATCGTCGCTTATGGTATGCAACCGGCTTAGCTACTCTAGGTGGGATTAAGGAAGATGATGTCATATATGTCACTCTACCCTTGTACCACAGTGCTGCATTCCTGATTGGCCTACATGGGTGTATTGTGGCTGGTAAGCTTTTTCTCTCAACAAAGCATTGGAAGTCAGTACACATTCACATCTGCTCATCAGAAAAGTCTTACAAAATTTGGCTACTTTCCCGTGTGCTTGGAAGGTGTTTAATTTTATGTTAATAACAAGGATCTTTGGCTCTCACATCATAAGCAGGTATCTAAAATAATTTCTATTTCCTCATGCCTGCTTGGCTAGCAGTACAATGCTATAATTGTTCAGTATATCAAGGAGGAAACTTTTAAAAAATACTTGAGATCTTTATCCAGTTTGAAACGCTTCATTCTTATATTCCATAAATAATTCTCCTACATCATTTCTATCTTCAGAAATCTGCATGTTGATCACCATCAGCATCTGATTTAAACTACACTTTCAGTTGTCTCCATTCTACTTCATTCTTCCCTACTCCCATGGCTTCTCACCTCTGGTCAGAATGCCTACCTTGTCATGTCCTCTCTTTCCTTCTCAAACTTTACCATTCCAAATAGAATTGCCATCATCCCTTCTTTCAGTAGGATTGATGCCCATGTTAAGGCTCAGTCCAACATCCACCTCTTCCAGGAAGCCATCTCTAATGCTCTAAGCTAAAAAACATTTTTCTCCCACGTGGCATTTCATTATAAATAATCGTTTACATATATATATATACACATTATACATGTACATATATACACATATACATACACATATATTCATATATTCATGTGCATATATGATTGCCCAAGCCTCTACTTCTTTCCCTCATCAGCATATTGATGAGCTGTAAAAGACTTAGTCTAGCATCAGCCTCCAAATCAGCAAGAAATGACTGGCCCTGATCATATTGCTGGGCCCTTCAGGAACTGGGTTACTCTGAGGCTCCCAAAGGGACAAACCAATGGCTTATACATTTGCTTAAGCAGCAAAAATACATGCTAAAGAAAAAAATGGTATTTAAATAATTTCCTCCTCTTTTAAAACATTGGACTTTTATATAGTTAGAAGTAAAAATAAACTGATAACATGAAAAAATTTTTGTGAGTTTTTTTTATTTTACTTTACTACATTTCTAGTTAGGTTGAATGTGATAGATATATTATTTTTACCCATTGTGTTAGTCTCCTCTTGCTACTATAACAAATTACCCCAAACTTAGTGGTTTAAAAGAACACAGATGTATTCTCTTACTGCTTTGAAAGTCAGAAGTCCTAAAAATCAAGATGTCAGCAGGGCCGCATTCCTTCTGAAAATTCTAGAGAAGAATCTATTTCCTTGCCTTTTCTAGTTTCTAGAGGCTGCCTGCTTTCCTTGGCTCATGGCCCCTTCTTCCATTTTCAAAGCATATCGCCCTAACGTTTTGTTTCCATCATCCCTTTTGCCCTTGACTTTCTTGCTTTCCTCTTATAAGAACCCTTGTGATTACATTGGGTTTACCCAAATAATCCAGGATAATCTTCTCAGAATTCTTAACTTAATCACATCTTCACAGACCCTTTTGCCATGTCAGGTAGCATATTCACAGCTTCTAGGGATTAGGATATGGACATCTTTGGGAACCACTATTCTGTCTACTTCCCCTATCAAAGAATTCTCTTCCTTGCTCAAGAACCTAGCTCTTTTTGCCTACAAAATCAAGTATGATTCCTCTACCTGGCACTTCCAAGCTCTCCATGATTGCACTCCTAGCTGCTTTTCCAGGGTCATTTCCTATGAGCTACCCACCCTTGACCACCCAGTCATAGGCTAACTGAGCCCTGACCATCCTCCAACACTTTCTTGACTGTCCTGTGTTTATGTTCATGCTTTTTCTTCTGCCTGGAATTCTCTCATCTTTCTCCATATTCATTTCTCAAGAGCTAATTCAAATCCTACTTCTTCCAAAATATGCCTTTATTCTCAGCCTTTGCCCCCAAGCAGAATTAATCTACACACAGATATATTCACATCCCCTAAGAGCCTCATTTGAACCTCTTATTTATTGCACATTGACTTTTTTTAGGAAGACACTTTTATGTGTCTTTTCCCCCACTAGATTGGAAGCTCTTATACGAACAAAACCAGGTCTTATTTGGGAGTTTTTTTGCATTGAATATTATTGGTACTCAATACTTGTTTGTGAATATTTAAATTTCTACCTTTCAAAAGTGGCAATCTCCTTTCATGCTCTGCCTCTGAGAGGAGACCACACTCTGTAGAATGTTACCCCTTTTCTAATAAATTTTCCCCCCTCTAAAAAAAGTAGCAATTATAATTGGGGAGATTTTTGCTTTTTGTAATACTTTTTTACTAACACTTTCTATGCCTTCTTGATAGGAGCTACTATTGTTTTGCGGAACAAATTTTCAGCCAGCCAGTTTTGGAATGACTGCAGAAAATACAACGTCACCGTTGTTCAGTATATCGGTGAACTGCTTCGGTATTTATGCAACTCACCCCAGGTAACTCTCTCCATGTCTCATTATATTTTTGAAATGGATAAGATTGGAATTCAAGTCACTCTGGGCCATGCTAGGCTTCAGCTTATTTGTATACATCAGTTTTCATTTTAGACTACAACCATTTGTCACAATATAGTGCTTGGTACCACCCTATTATATAGAAGGGATTTTCTAGATGGCAATTGCTATTAATATCATTATTCCCTACCTTTGTACCTGTTTTCACATCTTAGTCTCTACCTAGCATATCCTCTGCTTTCCTCTTACCCCTTTAAAGCCTACTCGCTTTTAAAGCTCAGCTCAAATGATACCTTATATATTAAACCTATTTGGGTCACTTCAACAAAAGTCATTACTCCCTACGCTACATCATTTGATTTCTATCCCATTGTAGTCCTTGTCACATTGCAGGTGTTTGTCTTCATGTCTCCCATCCTCCCTAGATTGTAAAATTTTTCATGGCAGGGGCCACATCTTATCTCCTGGCCCTCTCTTATACCAAAGGCATGCAGGAAACCTATTTAATGTTACTTAATGAGTAAATTTCCATGTGGCTTTGAAGCCATCTGACTAAGTCTGTCACCAAGCTTAGAACAGATTCCCCAAGGTCACATCAAGGGCCTTGAATCCACCCCGTTTGCAGATATCTAATGCTTTGATGGAGCTGTGTGAGGAGCAATTTCTGCCAGGGTTCTTCAGCTCTCATCAGAGGTATGGCAGCCAGCCTGGGGACCAGATCAAAGGTTTTCAACAGTGTCGCTGCTGACATTTTGGGCCCATTCATTCTTTGCTGTATGGACTGTACAGCACTATAGGATGTTTAGTATCATCTTTGGCCTCTACCCAGGACATGCCAGTAGTACCCTCACCCCACCACTGGTCGTGATAATCAAAATATTCTCAAACACTGCCAGATGTACCCTGTAGGCAAAGTCAACCCCAGTTGAGAAACACTAGACTAAATAGTGCAATAAATTCACCAGATTCTACTTCCTTTAATCTTTTCACTCATCATAAGAAAACAAACTCAAAGGATCACCAAGTTGATGAATTAGTATTTATAAACACCTATGTTCAACTTAACTAACAGCTGCTGTGTGATATAGGAAGAAATATAAAATGGTCTTTCCCCAGTTCTCCGGTTTGTCTCTGCCCACTGTCACCTCATCAAAGAGGCCCCTCTTGCTAACTAACATGTATCACCCTGCCTCTTACCCTTCATCTCCTGGGTTACTGCTCTTCACAGTCCTGACATAGTACAGGTTTATATGTCTGTTGTCTGTCTCCCCCAATTAAATCAAAGCTCCATGCACCTGTGGCTTTGTTGGCTGCAGATCCCCTGCACCAAGATCTGTACCTGGCACATCCTAGTCATCAACAAATTTTGCTGAATGAACCTCTAAATTCTTGCCACTGAAAGATTTATAATTAAGTTGAAGGAGGTAACATAGCCCCCCAAAATGTTTGGGCTGAGCATGTATTATTCTGATTTGGGGGGCAGATTCATAGGATTTATGAGGGTCATAATTAGCTGTGAGCTGGGTTAGAACCTTTTCCATAGCAATTCTGTTGACATCATTATAGCATTTTTTTCACAGTATTCCATCTGGTCCTCAAGATTGCATGACTCTCTTTTAAACCCTAGAAATCCATTTGGGGGCCTTCTGTTTGGCTTTTCTTCTCTGCCTTAAAGGCACATCCTTGCTTGTTAGAAGTCTCTTGAGGGAGGGCATATTATTTCTATCAGTTCTAATGAGAGTTGCCTTTGGACTTGAGGAAAAGAAACATGTTTGTGTGTAGCTCTTTCAGGCTCACACACATTCACACACATACACACTTCCACCTCTACCCTTTCTCTTAAGGTTGTCTCAGATGTTGGATAACAAAGACAGTTTAGGGTTTTATATCTTCACAATATGTTATGTTTTGGTGTATAATTCATGGATAACCTCTAATCTAGAAGTAGATTTGGAGTTCCTATTTGCCCTTGCTTCACCCTAGCCCTGAGTTTGGGTTTGTCTAGAAAATACTTACATGAATTGTAAGAAATAATCAAAGTTACCACAAAAACCTTCAATTAAAGATTTTTTAAATGATATGATTTTACATGTAGAAAACCCTAAAGACAAAAAATCTGATGGAATAAATGAATTTAGCAAAGTAGCAGGATACAAAGTCAACACACAAAAATCAGTTGCAATGGAACAACCTGAACAGAAAATTGCAAAAACAATTTCATTTACAATAGCATTGAAAAGAATAAAATACTTAAGAATTAATTTAACCAAGGAGGTGAAAGACTTACATAATGAAAACTACAAAACATTGTTGAAAGAAATGAAATAAGATAAAAATAAATGAAAGCACATCTCGTATTCATGTATTGAAAGATTTTTATATTGTTAAAATGTCAATACTATCCAAAGCAATATACAAATTCAGTTCAATCCCTGGCAAAATTACAGTAATGTGTTTTTGCAGAAATAAAAAAAAAAATCCCATCCTAAAATTCATGTGGATTCTAAAGGGACCCCAAACAGCCAAAACAATATTGAAAAAGAAAAACCAAACTAGAAAACTTACACTTCCTGACTCAAAACTTACTACAAAGCTTAAGTAATCAAAACAGTATGGTTCTAACATAAAGACAGATATATAGACTAATGGAACAGAATATAGAGTCCAGAAATAAACCCACATATATATGGTTAAATGATTTTTGACAAATGTGCCAAGACCATTCAATGGGGAAAAGACAGTCTTTTCAACAAATGGTGCTGGGAAAACAGAATATCCACATGCAAAAGAACGAAGCTGGACCCTTACCTAATACTATGTGCAGAAATTAACTCAAAATGGATCAAAGAACTAAATTTAAGACCTGAAACAATAATTTTTAGAAGAAAATACAGGACAAAACTTTATGACTTTAGATTTGGCAATGATTTCTTGACTATGACACCAAAGGCATAGGCAACAACAAAAAAAATTAGGCAAAGTGAACTTCACAAAAATTTAAAAATTCCATTTCTCAAAAGACACTATCAACAGAGTAAAAGTCAATCCACAGAATAGAAGAAAATATTTGTAAATCATTCATCTGATAAGAGATTAATATCCAGAATATATAGAGAACTCCTGAAACTTAACAACAAAAAATAACCTGATTCAAAAATAGGCAAAGGACTTGAATAGAGATTTTTCCAAAGAAGATGTACAAATGGCCAATAAGCACATTAAAAGATGCTCAATATCACTAATTATTAGAGAAATACAAACTAAAACTATACTGTTATACTTTACCATTCTTAGGATAGCTACTATGAAAAACAAACAATCTAACAAACAAACCATCAAGTGAGTACAATGATGTGGAGAAATTGGAACCCATGTGCACTATTTTTGGAAATGTAAAATGGTACAGTTACTGTGGAAAACAGTATGGCAGTTCCTCAAAAACTTAAAAATTAAATTACAATATGATCCAGCAATTCTTCTGGGTACATACCCCAAAAAATTGAAAGCAAGTTTTCAAAGATTATTTGTACATTCATGTTCATAGTAGCATGATTCACAATAGCTGAAACATGGAAGCAACACAAGTGTCTATGGATGGATGAATGAATCAGCAAAATGTGGCATATGCATACAATGGAATATTATTTAGCCTCATAAAGGAAGGAAATGCTGCAAAGTGATACAACATGGATGAACCTTGAGAACATTATGCATTAGGTTAAGTAAAATAGCCTGTCACAAAAAGACAAATATTGTATTATTTCGCTTATATGAGGTACTTAGAGTAGTCAAAATCATAGAGACAGAAAATAGAATGGTGGTCGTGATAGCTGGGGGAGGGAGGCAATGGGGAATTGTTTAGCGGGTATAGAGTTTCAGTTTTACAAAATGAAAAGGATTGTGGAGATGAATGGTGGTGATTGTTGCACAATATTATAAATGTATTTAATACCACTGAACTGTATACTTAAAAGTGGTTAAGACAGTAAATTTTATCCTAACATAAAATTTGTGTATTTTACCACAATTTAAAAAAAAAAAAATGTCTTGATAGGAAGCCCAGATATCTATGGATTTAACGAGAGTTTAAAGAAAGATTATATCCAATGGACTTCTCAGACAAAAGTGGATAAAAGTTAGAACTAACGGTGGAAGGCTCTGTAATCAGGAAGTTTCTCACCCTTAGAGCTGCCTAAACTAAGCTGTCCCCAGAGGGGCTAACACCACCAGCCCCCAAACAGTGGATATGTGGATATCAGGAAGGCAACTTTTGCCTTATCTGAGCCCGTAAACCAAATGACATCTATCCACAGACCTTGCGTGGCTCATCGGGAAAACCTGGGGCAGTGTTGGGAAGGCAGGGGCCACTCTGCCTCTCCTCCCTCTTAATTATATTCATTAGCTCCTTTGGTAGAACAGAGGACTAGGGAAGAATGCTCCCAGCCACCCTTAAGGCAGGAGTTCGCATTTGGCTCAAGGAACCATTAAGTGGTTAGAGCACAAGCAGGATGTGTCGGCAAGCCTGGTTCCTGACTCTGCCATTTGAGGAAGACAGTTAACCTGTGTAAATATTTCCCATCAGCCAATGGGGTAAATAATAGTACCTACCTCGCAGTGGGGGCTAGGAAGACAAAATGAAGTGATATACATAAAGCATGTGCCAAAGTACCTGACACTTAGTAAATAATCAACAAATGGTAGCCATTATGTTATTCTTTTTAGTGCTTAAGAATGAATGTTAAGTTCATTGTAGATACTCCATTCATATTCATTGAATGAATGAATGAATGAATGAATCAAAGAAAATTCTGCCATACGTGCACAAAGGAAGAAATAAGTGAAGACATTCAAATTAGTCAGTCAGTCACTCTCATCTAAGGTTGAGAAGGAGTTGGATAGAAAAGCTATTGACTTCAGTGATTTTCATTATCACTGAATAGTATTTATCCGTTTTACCTGTCTTCCATTGTTATATCTGGACT